GAAGTTTCAAGATGACCTTTGTATTTCATTTAAAACCTTGATTAGACCAGGAGTTGATCCATGAGACAGCAGCAGAATCAAAATTATATGTGCAACTTTGCACTTAAATCGTAAAAAAATAAAAAAAAATAAAAAAAAAATCTTTATAAAAGTTTACCTCTACACGCCTGCCAATACCCGAAAATGGAGTCGGACAGTTAACCATAGCCTTTACTTTTTTCATGAAAGAAGTTAAAGTCAAAACCTGTATAACCTTGATTAGACCAGGAGTTGATCCATGCCTTTTATTTGAATGTGTGAGTTTATGATTAGTATTGGATTTCATTTTACCAGGATTGTGAGTTTATTTATAGATGAAATTTTGGTGCTTATATATGCACTTATTTTCTAAGTTTTAAAATGTGGATTTATATGATATAATCTTATTACTTGATTTGATCTTTTTTTTGGCGGTTTTGAGGGAAATCGGATCATATCCCAAGAATATCCTAAGACTTGATTTTTCTTTTTCTTTTCGATTTTTGTGGTAATAAAACTATTCCAATAATATTTTGTATTTATCTCTTAAATATATGATTTTTAAAAAAAAAATGGTAATAAAGAATGTTAGTAATTTGAGGTTCCCAAAATTTTTTATGTTCTTATTTTTTTTTTAATCCAAGATGTTAACACTAACTATTTCGAACGTGTAACAAATATAAAATTTTTGATATTTTTCTTTAATTGAATCTATGCAATTAGGTAAATATTATTAAGTTAATATATATATATATATATATATATACATAACTTTATATAAAGTAAATAAATAAACGCAGTATTATACCACTATAATATGCTTTTAATTTGTATATTTTAATCAAAAGGGAAATATAACCTCCGATTTAGGTAATCTATCGTTGCCGGAAAAAAAATCCTCCAGATTTAGGTAAATAGATATCAAAATGAAATTCAAGATAAAATCAATATGATTTGTCCGTAAATAAATTCGTATGTATCTATAAACTAAAAAAATAAAAAATTCTTATGTATCTAATAAATCTGCTAAAAAGTCAAAAATTTGTATGATCTAATAAATCTACTAAAAAACCAATAAATTCGTATCTAATATATATATATATATGTATGTATATATATATTTATGAATCAAAATTGGATAATCAAATTAATGTATATATATACATTATTAATGCATAAACAAACCATTCATCAAAATATAATTACAAAATAGTACCTAAAACCAATATGAATCCAATAACAACCAATAACCAAAACAACATCCTCATTGACAGCAGCAGAATCAAACTTATACGTGCAACTTTGCACTTAAATCGTAAAAAAGAAAAAAAAAAATCTTTATAAAAGTTTACCTCTACACGCCTGCCAATACCCGAAAATGGAGTCGGACAGTTAACCATAGCCTTTACTTTTTTCATGAAAGAAGTTAAAGTCAAAACCTGTATAACAAATTAGTAGGCAATATCTGGAACATGCGTATTTCTCCCAAATCTTCACCAAAATCCAAACAACAAAACACAGCACGGCCAAGCCACCAATTCAATTACCCACACTTGGAAAATAAAAAAATAAAAAACAAAAATATTAAAAATCACGGATATACAACCATCATTGCAGTAGTGTTACTTCAAATGAAGAGTTATAGATTAACCACAATATTCAGGGAAAACAAAAACTAACAAAAGTAACAATTCACATCAAGAAACAACACATTAACTTCAATTCAAGAATTAATAAACACAAGCACACATAACACAAGCCCGATTTATCTATAGACTTCGCTCCAGCCGTCGACGTGGCTTTTTTTGCCGTCGCTGATGAAGTAATTAAAATCTCTCGACATATTTACCATTCAAGTATGCAGTAAACTATTTTCTGAAGGAATCACGACCTAAATTTAATCTATTAAATCTCGATAAATCCTATTTGGTCGTGGAAGGGAAACCGAACCACAGAGAAAGTCAAGCCGGGTCTTCCTTTCTCCTCATGTCTTCCTTTCTCCTCATGAACTGATCCTTAGATCTATAAAACTGAATAAAAGCAGCATATCCATTTTCGAATGGTAAATATGTGGAGAGTAATGCTTCAGAAACCTTACTTCATCTCTTATTTCTTCTTATCTCTGTAATTCGGAACAGAACAAAATAAAATAAAATAATAAAAATGAAAATAACATTACTGTGCATAACAACATTCTGGACAACTACAATCATATCTTTGTAAGTAGAGATGACAAATTTTGAAAAGGTAACAAATTGATAAAAATGAAGCACTAAAAATTAGATGGAACCAGTTCAAATACAATAATACATAATCCAATAGCAAAATTTATATTTCATGACAATAAAAGTAAAACAATCATCAGTAATATAGCGTCTCGAACTGAATCACAACATCCATCAACTTTATTTAAATAGTCCTTGAGGTCTTGCACGATATTAACTTGAAAGAGCACTGTGAGTTTATGCATTCTTTATAATTAGCTAAATCAAAGTTGGAAGCTTGTGTGAAATAGCAAAAGGAGTCAAAAGAATAAACCAAAAACCAACCATATCATAACAAAGTCATTAGCAAAAAAGCAAACTGAATTTAAAACACTATTTTTTTAAGGTTAAGAAGAACTATGCACTGGATCTAAGAGGTTATTGAATAACAGAGGAAATGAAGAATATCGGTTGCACAAGGCTTTGCGCTCCGGTTAATGCACATAAATTTGATTTCATAAATCGGTCAAAAGTTTCCTCAAGAGCACATTGTATATCTCCGGCTACCTATTACCACTCGAAAAAGGGAACCGAGAAAAACCCTTACCAGGAGATTCGGGAATGAGTAATTTTGTAGTCGTGAAGAGCACCTCGGTGGTGCGGCTTGGGACGACCAATTTCCGTCAGGCCGGTGTTTGTATCTCGTATTCTGTGCTTTGAGAACCGGAATTTTTTTTGACACTACTCAAACTGTAAGTTCAACTCTGCAACCTTCAGTAGCACAATAAAAAGAAACCATACTCAGCTCAAAAGGGTTAAAAACAATAATCAAGCAACAAAAAACTGAATAATCACCAACCAATAGATCCTCTTGCTGATCTCTCGTCCCATTTTCAGTCACATCGGCCAAATTCTCCACCAGCTGAAAATTAAACTCCAAATTAATATTAAAAAAAAACCCTAAATTTGCAAGAAAAATAAATAATCAGCAGAAATCCAGAAAGGCGGGAATTACATGGAGGAGATGAAAGTGAGAGGCCAAAGACTGGTGCTGGCGTGGCGTCGGCTGTTTCTGTTGAAAACGTGGCTGGGATTGCGGTTGCTGCTGAAATTGATGTTCGCCATTAGAATTGAGAAATTTCTAGAGAGAGAAAGGATTAAAGGGAAGGATCTTTTTCTCGGTTAAACTCCATTAGGTTCCACAATTTGTTAGTTTTCCTTCAAATAATTCTAGCCCATTTCTTCCCGAAAATCTTCCCAAAATTCTAGCGTGCAAAATCTTCCAAAAAATTCAGCCGAAAAAACTGAACAGCACCCTTGAGTCCCATCGTTTTCTCTCGCGTAGCTTTGCTCAACTGCGGGGCATCGATTCAGTTAACAAAGAGCAAGAACCCTATCGAGAAAGTGATAATCACAATGACAAATTAGCTACATAAACATATGCTTGATGAGTTCTGAGAAATTAGTAAAAATGTAGAAAAAACCAGGTAACTACCAAGAAGAAAAATCCAGGTAACTTCACCGTTGTTCTTGTTCTGAAGATCGTCAACTGGAATACATATACAGACATAATCAGTCGAGCATTGTAAAATACACAAGGAAGTAAACATAATGAAGTACATTGAACAACGAACACCCATAAGAAATAAAGAAAGGATGCATAAAATCGCACCAGGAGGCAGAGTAAAGCTCACGGGCAATCTAGACACTATAAGCACAAGATGATTTTGTACCCGAGGAAAGAAAGCCTCAAAAGGCTCTAAAAGAACATCAATACATACACAATAGAAAAATGAAAGAGATCTATCAACTCTCTGTGCATAATTCTAAATTATCTCAACCTACGTTTGAGCTAAAATTCCATTACCTAGAACATCAATTAACTAATCATATGAATAATATGAACCCAAATCTTCCACCACAGCAATTATGAAAACGCGCAATTGCTCTTAAAAACACAGCCATCCGGTGTTTCAAGCACAAGAATCCAATGAGAGAAATCTCAAAATAAATGAAGAAGCGAAAAAAAAAAGCATGAATAAAAAAGAACAATACTGCAAAAGAGATTTGTTCTCACCTTCCCAATCGGAATCTTCTTTATGAATTTTGAGCGACGATGCAGCGAATTTGCGGCGTAGGAACTAAAATTCGTCCTCGTCCTCGCCGGAGAAGCACGTCGACATGCCGACATCCGAGGCGCCTGCGTGGGTCGACGACTATGTGACTGGAAAGTGGAATCGTCCGCCATTGGCGAGGAGGGCGTGGATCTGGTCGCCGGAGGGCTTGAGGCCGAGAGACCAGAGGAGGGCGGCGAGCTCGAGCTGGGTGAGGCTACCGTCGTGGTCTATGTCGAACCGCTTGAAGATGTCGTGGAGCTGCCGGATCTGTTTCGATTGGAGCTTGGTCATAGCGATTTGGCCGAGGAAAATTTTGGGATGAGAAAGAGAGACATTATCTTCCTTGTTTTGTCTCCTGCGGATCTTTTGGATTAAAAAAATCACATTGTATAAATAGATAAGTTCAAATAAGTTTAAATCAATCAATAAAATCTCCAAAATTTTCGAATTGAATGGGCGGGGATATATTCATTTTTCGTCAAAAATTATGCTAAACTTTAGGCGGGAATTGTAATTTTTTTTTGCTGATTTTCCACATGATTTTTTCAAAAAACTATCATTCCCTCTTCATATATTAATAGATTTGTAATTATTGTTATGTACACAAATTGTACAAATTAGTCTATTGATTCAATGTACAATTTTTTTGTTTTGCCTACATATTATGGCATGATTGGTATGATGGACTGAAATTTCGTAGGAATGAAATAAATTGAATAATGGAATAATTATGGCAATGGAATGAAACATGTTTTGTCATTGATGCGTTTGGTATGCAGAATGAATATGACTGGAATGGAATGACATTATCATTTTTTATTATAAAAATAAATAAAAGCTATTTTTAAAAAATAATATACTTTTAATAAATTATATATAAATGAGTTTTTAATAATATATAAAAATAAAGTAATATATTTTGAATAATATATACAAATAGAATAATATATTGTTTAATAATATTAAAAATAATATATTTTTAATAATATATTTTGGATAATATATAAAAATAGAATAATATATTGTTTAATAATATAAAAAATAATATATTTTTAATAATATATATAAATAAAATAATATATTTTTAAATTATATATAAATGTTTTTTTTAGTTTTATTTTTATATAAGTATTTAATATATCTAATTAAAATCTAAATAAAAGTAAGTTTTTAATTTTTTTATTTGATTTTTTTTTAAAATAATTTTATTTAATAAATTTTAATCATGATTTATAATATATATTATATATTTATTTTTTATTATTATTTGTTAATTTTATTTTTTGAAAAGTTGATTCCTACACACATGGGAATGAGAAAACCTTTCATTTACTATGAAATAGTTAATCCCATGGAGATGGGTTTTGCCATTCCCATTGGAATGACATTCCTTCCCAAAAAATATACCAATCATGGGATTAAGAATGAGTAAGGAAATGATCATTCATTCCCATGTCATTCCTTCCTGCCAATCATGTCATTAATGTTAAAAAAACATACATTGTTGTCTTACAAGTTAGTTGTGATATTTTATAAAGGCAATTTTTTATTTTATTCTTTTAATAAAAATACTGAACACATAAGTATCAAATTATACATGAGCAATTATTAGATGAAATAAACCCAAAGTGTTTATGTATTTTACTATATCATTATATTAGTAATATAATTTAATATGATAATTATATTAAAATATTAAAATATTAATATATAATATATAAAATTTATATTGTCCATTTTAAATGTATATCATTTTTTCACTTTTAAGATTATAATTATTATTTTAATACTCAAAGTATATAAAAAAATATATTATTTTTATATTCATATAACAATTATCATTAACATACGATAAATTTCACATTTATATTTTTTTTTATTAAAATTTAAAATTTTAACTAAGAGTAGTTAATGTAACAATTCAATTATAAATATGATGCACATTATTAAATATTATTTTTTAATTTTAATATTTATATATAAAGATTATATTATTTTTTATGTAATATGTAGATATGCTGATTACTATAAATATAATATTTTTTTTACTTAATCTAACGATACAATGGGACCCCTANAATATCAATATCAATAATATTTGTAACGTATCTTTACGTGGAATGCCCCTATGTTTTTTTACTTTTTTCCATAGTTGTCAAAATCAGACCGGGCCGACGGTCCGACAAGTTGAACCGGGACAGTTTAATGGAAAAAACCGGTTGTGGCCAAAACCGGTCAAAAATCGGTTGAACCGGCCAATACCGGTTGGTTCAACCGGTCATTTTTTTTCTTTTTTTTTTGTTGACAATCCGGTAAAAAAATCTTATGTATAAATTCTAACACTTTTATAAATCAACTAACTTTTTATGGTTACCGATGTGGGACAAGATGTAAGAATTCTAAATTTCCAATTGTAAAGGTAAAAGACTAAAGTCACGCGTGTGGAAGGAATTTCTTTTCCTATATCCCATCTTTATTTTCTTTTATTTTATTGTCCAATATGGGAGTGTGAGGAAATATTTCTTTTCTTTTTTCTCATATTTTTGTACTATCATTTTATTGTTTAATCTATATATGGTGGGACCAACCTTTTAAAAACTAAGCCAACTATATTTAATATTTATAGTATTATATATTTAAAATATCAATAAATTAAATAACTTAAAAATTAATTTAACTATATCTATGAAATATTATATGTATATATATATTTAAAAATATCAATAAATTAAATAACGGTCCAACCGGTTCAATCACTGATCGGACCAGTAAACCATTGAACCAATAGCTCGATCGATTCGATGACGGGTCCGGTTTTGACAACCTTAGCTTTTTTCGCAGTTGGCACGACACACACAAACAAAGACGATCCAAATCCACCCCGCTCTTTCCTTTTTCTCCTGGCACCGTAAACACATAGTCAGGCCTAATTCGCCTAAATACTGCTTCATTTATATCTTTAATGTCAACTCTCAGTGAAAAAGTATGAAAGTGTCCAACGCTAATTTGCGCAAGACTAATCAGGTTCCGCTTCTATCAGTTGCTTTCTTCTCTTTATTGCGCTTTGATAAATTCGCAAGTGTCTGTTTGTTTTTTGTGGTTTTGATTTACCAAGGCTGGTTTATGCAGTCCTCAGTGCCCAGATCTACTGAGGAAAAAGGCGGCATTCTTTGCGATGATGATTTCTGTAGAATCGAGGAATTGATTAAAGCGAACACCTTTTCTAGGTACTTGTTATGCTTCAGAAGTATGCCCTAACTCTGGTGTTGGAAATTCGATTACTGGCCTTTCATTTTGGCTATTACGTAATTAGTAGGTAATATAATCGTCTATCGTTAAGTAAGAGAAATCATAAAGTCGTTTTTTAATGCTATGGATTAGGTTCAGTTGAATATGCTTTTTACCTGGAATGCTTTGAATTGGCATGGTGGTAGGGATTATGTTTATAGATTTGTAGTGCTAATTGTTTATACAAGTGTTTTCATTATTTTCTTTGCCTTTCTGGTTGTAGTTTTATGTCCGAAGTTTGAAAACCTTATGATGTTATTTTATTCTAAATGTTGTATCTATTGTTATAAATTAATAATATAATGATAATGCTTGAGGCATTCAAGCATTCTAGTGTAATGATGGGGGCATTCAAGCATTCAAAATGTTATATCTATTGCATCCATGTACTAATTAAGAAAGGAAATGTGTTTCACCCACTGTAAAGTAAACTGAACTAACTGAAAAAGAAAAAGTATCCGAATTTCAGGCATTAAAGTATATTCACATTATATTGGTCGGAAAACTTGCAGAGTTAACCTCCCTGTTCCCCTTTCCCCTCTTCAGTACTCTAGCCTCATGTAGTTAAAAAATTTGCCGAGCATACAGTCATATTGTCATGCATATATTCAGAACAAGCCATATGAAACTTGCTCCTAAGGTCTTTTATTGGTTGGTTTATTAGTTGAGGCTGAAATAATTGGTGCAAGACACGATTCATTGTCATATTTAGAGAAGTCTTTTTATTCATCTCTGGTTTGCTAATTGGAAAGTGTATTTGTATTACACCCTATTGGTTGTGAAGCTTCCTCTTTAAACAACTAGTGTTTTCTCATTGGAGTTGTAGACAAAAGGACTCGTGACTTTTCTATGTAGTTTCATGCTTTGATCTTATCATAAGTATCTTATATACCCAGGCTGACCATTATTTTCATCACTTGAGTTTCATGAACTCTTTGCTGCTTGTGACGAAGCTAGTTAAGTGTGAACGCAACAAACCAAGTAATTACAGTACCGCCCCTAGTGTGAACACTCGCAGTATATAAACAACCTCGACGAGGCTACTTATATACTGCGAGTGTTCACACTAGGGGCGGTACCGTAATTAACCAACTCTTTAAGTGTGAACGCAACAAACCAAGTAATTACGGTACCGCTCGAGTTTAAGTATAGAATGCATATAACAATCAAGTATGTCAACGAGGATTTTGAATTTGAACAAAGATGAGGTTCTTTTGTCTTTGTGAAGTGGACCACAAAATGGTGTTCAGATTCAAGTGTCGAAAGTGATACCACTACAGATAGTGACTCATTATTGTTCTATGTGCTTAAGAGCACATGACTGCAAACAAGTAATAAAGTAATGAGTAGAGATCATTCGCAGTGAGGACTAATTTTATTGAACGATAAGTCTAACAAATTATGAAGATCCATTTATAGGCTAAAACTACTCGAACTTGCTGCAATAAGTTTCAAAGAAAACCACTTAACATTGATTGAAACATAAGAGTTTATGATTTCACTATCATTTTATCACTTTTAATGAAATCAATATCAACTTAGCTCTCTAGTTGAAATTCGAGGATTTGTAGGGTTTTACCCCTTCCACCATTTAAAGAATCTTTTATTAGTTCCAAACTCACTATGCATGTATTTATTAAAGTATTAAACAACCAATAAAATATTGAGCTATGTGTATCTCGTGTAGCGAATGCACAAGCCATGCAACTTTATGCAATTTAAGGTTTGTAAATAATGATCTAGGGTGTGATTGGATATGGATTTGATTGATTTTTTGTTGGTTTTATTTAATCATAGTTAATTTTGAGAAAATGTGGTATGGTTAGTTGTCAGTGGGAGTTCAAGTTTATATTAAAATAATATTTAAAATGAAATAATTAAAGTTGATTTGATGTAAAAGCAGAAGAGAGATGATGTGAAGTGATGGTTAGTTAATAGTGAAATAAAATTGATGTGACGTGTAAGGATGATTGATTATTATTATTTAGTTATATAGATAAAATTGATGATAATGGGGTTAAGTTAAAGTTGAGTAAATTTGAGTTTTGATTGATTTTTTATTGGATGAGTTTATATCCTATCACACCCCTAACATCTAAGTACATATATCATCTTCATCGTCAATAATCAATATGAGTCGTGAAATCAATGGATTGAAAGTTGAAAGAATCAAAACCTATGTACGAAATTCAATTAAAAAAACTAACATGCAATTGAATTGAAAAATATTAAAACCACCATAATCAGAGATAGGTTATCAAAAACATAAACAATGAGAAATCGTGTTATGAAGATGAAGAAAGAAGTAATAGATGGTTAGTGATGGTTGAGACCTAAATTTTGAAAACCGAAGCTGTCTCCTTTTTGTGTGCTTGTTCTTTATGTGCTATCCTCAACCTTTGCTTAGATGCTGTAAAAAGAATCATTATATAGTTCTGCCAAATTAAGTTCCATAAAGTAGACAAATGATTGCATTTACTTTTGAAAGTTCTGAAAGACACCTGAGCGTTAAATAATATGTCCAGCAAGTTTTGAAACTGTGATTTAACTCTAAAAATGAGGTGCTCTTAAGCTTTCCCATTCTTCTACTTGTAATGATTTTATCTTTATCTTTTTGCATATTTTTTCGATGTTCACAATATCTTAAAAAATATAACTAACGTGCAAGAATGTTATAACTGAATTGAAAACATTCGAACACTGTACCTAAAATTATACCAATTGGTGATTAGATGATCAGTTATCACTCATCCACAAGTGAGTATGGCATTGTAGTTCTTAACCTCTACAGAACCTGGTGAGTCTAGTAAGTTGATAAAGAGTTGATCGGAGGGATACTATTTCACATATAAATGGAAATCAAATTTTCCTCTCCTAGTCTTTTTCATTTGCTAATGTGTGGTCAGTACATAAAGTTGTTCCCAGGTATCTACTATCAGAGATAAGGAAATTTGTTATGCTGGGTTCTGTCTGAACTTCTGTCCAATTGTATTGCTTGATGCAGGGAGGAAATCTGTCATTTGGTGGAAATATTGGAATCGAGGGTTGACAATCAGTTGGAGAAACCAAAATTAAGCATCGATGCTGGAGTAGATACCAAATTCATCACCCATGGACTTCGAACAACACCTTCCACTGAAAAGCAACCAGATATTGACAGAAATGCAATTGGAACTTCTCGTGAAAAGGTATATGAGAGTGCACGTGTGAGTGTGTGTGTGTGTGTGTACATCTCTCAGCATCTTCTTTCCTTCCGTTTATGCTTATTTCAGTTGTGTGTTAAAGTCTGAGATGATAGGAGGTGTTTTTGAATAAGTAGAAAATTAAAAAAAAAAGGTTATGCATTGCACAGGCTATTAACCTTGATTAACACGTCTGATACCTTGAAATTATCACTGATAGAAAGTTCTACAGGTCCCTGTTGGAGTTAGTGCTTCACCCATTGATATTGCTCGTGCATATATGGCTAGTCGTAGTTCTGGAGGAAGTCGTGATTTTAATATTATGAACTCTAATTGTGAGATGGCTGAGTTGGGCAATGAATTTGCAAGAAAGCCATTTCTGCCGCCACCTTCACCTAAGCCGGCGATATGTTGGCCTGGTGCAACGGTGCACGAACATCATGGGTATACAACACCTCATAGTCAGATGGGCAGACATAGGCTTCATAATTATCCGAGAACCCCTTATTCAAGAATCATATTGCCCAAGTCCAATAAGAAGGTGTACTGCCATTATTATTGTAAAATTATTTGTGACATAAAACTCTTTTGATTTCATTGTTGATCCTTTTCCTTCCTATTCAGTTACAATTTGAGAGCGCAGATGCAAACATGTCAACACCATTTAAACGGTCTCAGTCATCCATCCATCGGCAGGTATAATTTGGTTTTATACACACAAGTTTATACTTGCCATCATTCCATCAGCGATGCCATTTGGTGTGCTGAGGGAATGACAACATTTATTTTCAACATGCAATTAACATATTCAGGGAGGCTGTTAAGACATTATTCTTATGGTCAAATATATAATGGTGGAAGTTGAAAACAAAAATGCCTTCAAACTCGTACAAATTTTAAATACCTGTATTTTTGGCGTTATGCAACTGTTTTTCTTTTCTTTTTCTTTTTCTTTTCGGTGAACATTCAGGCAAACTCAAGTAGGGAAACCTTTGATCGCTATGGATCTGTGGGCCCTATTCGTCATATCAAGAATAGGTTTTCTTCAGAAGTCCGTCCAAGAGGATCTATATTCAATCCACCAAAGGACAATCCTACACAAGTGGTGAAACCGGCTTTTGGGGGCTTCATAAGGAATACAGAGAAGACTCAGGGGATTGGGGAAACAAGTGTTGCCTCAAAATACTGTTCAGGAAACAATACATCGGTTTCATCTGATAGGGATATCTCAAATCAAAATTCAGCCTACAGTGATTCAGTTAGGAAAATACTTGAACACCTTGACAGAAACAAGCCTACGCCTAAAGAGAAAGAAGCTGAGTTGAGGTTGGCGACTGCATGGAGGAAATCTCCTCCTGAGGCCACTGACATCAGTCATGATGAAAAAATAAGATCAGCACATGCAGAAGAACTTGCTGCTCACAACAAGAGTGCTGATGGATCTTGCGCAGATGTTTCTGTAGGATTCAATAAAAACAGCAGTAAATCCAGTTTCAATGAAAACAGCAGGAAATCCAGTTTATTTGTGAATTCTGTGGATAAAGGTTTGGGTGAGGTCGAAGGTGCAGTCACTGAAACCGTCAAATCTCCTGGTTCTGGTTTTACTTGTGTTAGTGACCTACCAGGTGTCAATCCTATGCCGTCGTTTGTTTCTAAGGTAACCTCGGGTCCTATAATTATCCCCGGTACATATACATGCAAAGTTTCCTGAGTCTATGTGTCAACTTCTAATGCTTGTAATCCTATGTGTCAATTTATGCTTTGGAGTAGTTTATGTAGATCTTGACTTTTGTCCATTAGGACTTTTATGATTACAAAACACTTACCAACTTAAATTATAGATATATTTTAAAATTTAATAATTTTTTATTTGTATCATTCGTGTATGATATATTCAATTAATTGTCTTTTGATGGTCTTTGATTTGACATCCATATATATTGCATATATAAAAAAGTAATATATTTTCAATGAAATAGTTAAAATTTAAAATAAAAAGTTATATTTTTATTATTTTAAAAGTTCTCTTTATGTATAATTTTTCTAATTAACACCCGTGTAATAATACGATGGTGTAACTAGTAGACATTAAATGTGAAAATGAAAGAAGCAAAACAAAGGAACAAGTCAACTATTTCATATGCGGATTTGTTCTTTTTATTTTACACTTGACTCATCTCTTTGAGCTAGATGCCAAAAGTTACCATCTTTACTTTGTCTTTCTTACAGTACACATTCGTCGTTGAAGCTTGTTCTACAGTGATTTAGTGTCTTTTTGCTTTGCCAACACATTAAAACTAATTTTCTTTCGGTTACCACTTGGTTTAGGTTATATTTAATTTTTTTGGTAATCTATGACCACCTGTGTGTTGCTCTGCATTGTTTAAGATCTTTCAATTTGGGTTCTTTTATGCACAGAAGGTGGTTGCAATTAAAAAAATTAGATACTGCCCCTCTGAAAGCATCAAGTGTCCTTAATTATGACGACATAATTGTTTAACAGAAAAGATGTGTGCAGTTATCAGTTCAATACACAATCAAATAAGCTCTCCAATACTTGTACCTCAAAAATGATACATTATACATATTCATTACTGAATACTCAACTGAATTTGATAATGCCTGAATGTTACTCTACTAGGTAATTGCTGACAAATAGTTTCCATATTACAGAATGCTTTTGCCACCAATAATCATGGACAGACTGAAAAAAGTTTACTTTTCCCTCATCCTCATCTGAGCAACGGGCAAGAGGCGAAAATAGCAGCTGGCACAACTGACTCACATATGTTGAAGAATGATGGAAAAAGGCCTTCACTGCCATCAATATCTATAGGCAAACCTGTTTTTTCTGCAACTTCTTCCGAAAATGTCCCTGGTTTCACTTTTCCCGTTTCGACTTGTTCGGGTGTACTTTCAGAACCGCCAACTCCTTCTGTCATGCCAAGTGCTGTGTCCCACTCCATTGATTTGCATACTATTCCTTCCTATACATTTGGTGTTAAGAAGTCAACTCCACCTCTCGTTTTCTCATTTCCATCTACAAGCAGCAGTACCTCATCACTGGGTGAGGATTATGATCTCAAGTTCAGTTTTGGATCGGAGCACAAGACTCGGTTATCTTTTAGTTCTGTTGGAAAAGATGCCATCTGCTATTAATAGCAAGTAGCTGATTTAAAAGTTGGATATGTATTTCATACTTATTTGTTCTTCGGCTGGATTGGGATTATATTGGATAAGTTGTCATTGAAGAGGATTCATTGCTACAAGATTTTTATTTTATTTTCTTATACTTTTTGAGGAGGTGCTAAATATGGTTTCAATAGGAAACAATGTGTTTACACCTTGTGTTCACACTTTATTCCTACTTGAATAATAGAAAATTTCACTAGACTAATATTTAATTCGTTTCCCTATTAATTGCTCTATTTACTTCCCAATATCAATATTTAAGATACAATATATGTTGATTAATTTAATTATTGACAATATAACTAATCAGATTCAAATACCACTCAATTCTTTATTATTATGTCGAAAATTAATCAATTGGTCGAGTTTAACATAATAATCTTTCTTGATCTCAATTCGAGGACGTCATCAACTTGATGAATCGAGACACTGACCGTAAACAATCTTAACGGCACATCATGTACTTGGCATTATTTGTCAAAATACAGAGTATGTTGACTTAATAAAAATAAGTTTCACCCATAGTAAATCAAATAAATAACTATCGAATACATATATCCGTTTATTGTCTTAAGGGTTAAGGAAACTCAACAATTACTGAGGTCCACATTAGTTATTTGGTCAGTATAACACAATTTTATCCTATCGTAGGTATGTTCAATGCATACGAAATGTATCAGTGTAATTCGTTAGTCAAAGATCAACTAACTAGAAAATTAAACTTCAACCTTTCACGACAGTTGCTTCAATTCCGTTTGGGCCGTGAAAAAATATTTATATTTTACACCGATAACATGATTTTTCTGTTTGACACATCGAACCATATTATCTATAATATAAAATAAAGGAACTATGTTCGCATAAATAAATAAACTACGAACACATACATGACTAAAGTCTAACAATCCCATCTCTGGCCAAGACTGCCCGAGTGTCCAAGCTACCCATTTGTACTACTCGGATGCTCAAATTGTCCATTTTTATTACGTCACGTACTTTTATCCACACCTGTGGTTATTATCTTAACTATATTCTTCTTATCTATTATGTAGTGTGTTCAAATTAGGCTACCTCATTATGTGGTCTAATTGTGCGACCAGATTGAATCCTCTTTAGCAAAGTTGTTCCGACCTTCCGTGGATAAGCTCATCTTTTAGGTCGTACATCGACCTACATACCTCAAGGTACCCGCAGGGACGGATNTCAGTCAAAAATGTGACATCACACATACGTAGGGACCTATAATTTATTTAAAGGCATCCATATATATTAATTTTTTTTTCCATTCATTCAATAAAAAAGTTACACTCTCTCTCATCGACATCATCTCCACATCATCTTTTCACTAATTCTCTCTCCATTTAAACACACACCCACATCCCTACACATTCATTTAGATACAAATATGGGACCCATTATATCCATTCATTCAATATAAATTTTAGTACTATATTCTCAATAAAAATAAAAATTTAATATTTTTAAATTATAATAATAAATTTTAAATGCATGAAAATAAAAGAACACTACAAGATCAAAATAACTTAAATTACGATTACACAAGAAAAAATAGTACAATTACAAAAAATAAGTTTTTTAGTGGCTAAAATGAGTCCAAACATGATCAACTAAATCGGCACGAAGTTGATGATGCACTGTGTTATCTCGTATCTCTGAGTTTCTATGGATATAATTTTGAAATTCTCGATTTGAACCCTGGACAGGTTGTGCGGGCTCTTAATCCTCGTCATTGTGCCAATGTGTTACTACAACTCCTTCATTTTCAACAATCATATTGTGTAGAATAGTGCATGTCAACATAACAAATTTCAGTTTTCTTCTATACCAAAATCAAGCAGGACCTCTTACAATTGCCCATCGAGACTGAAGCACCGCAAATGCTCTTTCCACATCCTTTCGAGCAGCTTCTTGTTTTCTTTAAATAACTGTCTTTTAGGATCTGACGGGCAAGGAAAAGACTTTACGAACGTAGCCCATTCTGGATATATTCCATCTGTAAGATAATACCCATTTGCATATTGCGTGCCGTTGACAGTAAAATGAATGTTTGGTGCATTTCCTTACAACACATTATTAAATAGAGGAGATTCATACAATACATTGATATCGTTACGTGATCCTGCAACACCAAAAAAGGCATGCCATATCCACAAATCGTGTGAAGCAACCGCTTTAAGGACAATCGTAGGAGACCCATGCCCTCTTGTGAATTGGCCTTTCCAAGCAACTGGACAATTTTTCCATTCCCAATGCATACAATCAAGGCTTCCAAGCATACCCGGAAAACCATGATTTTTTTTATGCCTTTGGAGGAGTCTTTCAACATCGCTACTGTTCGGTCTTCTCAAATATTCATCACTGAAAATTTCAACCACACTTTCGCAAAATTTAAAAAGACATTTGATAGCGTTGACTCATCCATACGTAAATACTCATAAAGGTGGTCAGCTGGGACTCCATAGGCCAACTGACGAATGGCTGTTGTGCATTTTTGAAGTGGTGACAAACTTTGTCTTCCTTCTGCATAAATGTTTTGCTGGAAAAATGATGATCGTGTCTGAAGTGCATTCACATTTCGAAGGAATAATTCTCTTTGCATGCGGAAACGCCTACGAAATATATGATCCGGGTAGACTAGATGGTCAGAGAAATAATCACTTACAAGTCTATTATGCCCATCTTCTCGATTTCTCTAGATGAACCTTCTTCTTCTACGAACTTCAATTTCATGTTGGTATGCTTGAAGTAACTCGTGGCTTCGTTGAACGATTGATGAAATCATTTCAACTTCTAAATCGTTAGTGTCATCACCATCTTCACTATCGGTGGATGATGATGAATTAGACTCGGATCTATATGAATTTTGAGACATTTTTTGAGGATTCTAATTGAATTTAAAGTGTGTAAATTGTTAGGAAATAGAATCGGACAAGATGGAATAACAACAACACACCAACGTGAAAGCAATAAGAGACTCACTCTCTAAACTCGACTCTTCTTTTTCTTTCACTTGGAATGAGATACAAAATGAGGTATTTGTAGCCAAACAAATGCTTCTTGCAAGGAAGTTGCGAGGAAGCTCCCTTCATTCGACTAGGAACTTACGAGGAAGCTCCCTTCCTTGACTAGGAACTTACGAGGAAGTTCCCTTTTTTTGACCAAGAAGTTGTAAGGAAGCTCCCTTCCTTTGACTAGGAAATTGTGAGGAAGCTTCCTTCTTTTGACTAGGAAATATGTGAGTTTGCTTTGAATAAAATATATGAGTTTGCTTTGAATAACAAGAATAGCTTAAATAAAATACAAGCTAAAAGTTCAATTTTGCAAATCACAACGTACATAATTACAAGGATAATTAAAATAAATAATTCAAAGTCTACAAGTTCCATTTCTCTCGAATTACTTGGCACATTTTCTCATGAGAAATACGTTGCTCTTAGGTCATGTGGGTTGTGTCTCTCATTAAAATATCATAGTCTTTTCGACAATTCCTCTGCTTCTTTTCCTCAAGAGTTGTTTTTTTAACTTCAACTTCAACTTTTTTCATGCTTGTTAACTCAGCAAGATGCTTAATCATGTTGTTGTATTCTGTCTTATCAAGGTTAGATTTTTCTTTGCCCTTGGCCTTTCGTTTGGCTGTCTTCTGTCCGATTGGACGAGCCGCTTCATGAAGTTTATCTAAATCAATGATCGCATCTCCCTTTGATGAAGTGTTGCTGGCACCAGACTCATCAATCCTCTTTTTTTTTTTCTCTCAACAAAAATATCANTTTTTTTTTTTCTCAACAAAAATATCATTCGAAGATTGTGGAGTGAACATAGGACGATCTTTTAGGATTCTCCACATATGCTCAAGATTGAAGGCTACACCATTACTCTCACAACGATATTTTTCGTAAGCCCGACTTAATATATCCTCATCACTGCAACCACTTCGATACACACAGTAAATACTGTTATAGCACTCATTGAACCGATAAACCTTTTTTTGAATTGTATTATGCCAGTGAGATCTTATTATATAAAATCTCTATAAATATATCAGAAGGTATATTTTCATTATAATACTTTGCAACCCGTACCCAAAACGCTTCGGCCTTCTGATCATTACCGGTAATTGGATCGTCACTTATTGTCACATAAGCCTTTGCAATAGCACGTCCTCTTCCATTGTCCATTGTGGATATTTTTTCCAGCCCTCAGCAGTAACACGTGTGTTTCTTGGCATTTCAACATTTATGGCTGCTTCACGATCCTGCAATTGTGTTTTCAGAACGTAAGTTTGAGTATCGAGTTCTTTCCTCATTTGAGATCTGGAAGATTGACTCGACTGTTGCGGAGAAGATTGCACCAGATTTTGACTACTTATGTACTGCCAATATTCAGGCGGTGGATTTTGAAATAAAGCTTGTGAAGGATATTGTGAATATTGAATATTGCCAGACATTGGATAATTTTGGGATTGTTGCATAAAAGAAAAATTTGATGAGAAATGTGGAAAAAATTGTGCAGGATAAGGAGCTTGTGAAAATTCATCAGGATTGGTAGATTAGAACTTGAGAAATTTTGATAGTTTTGCCTATTATTGGGATCCATTTTATTTTTTCAGAAATGAACAATTGCTAAATTTTTTGTGTAGGAGAAGTGTTAAATTTTTGGTGTAGGAGAAGTGTAATAATGAAGGGTATTTATAGGCAAAATAGTGAGGATAAATAATAAATAAAAAAAAAAAAACTGCAGAAAAAAAAATAAAAAATAAATAAAAAAGGCTCAAAGGAGCCGTTCAATGTTGTTAATGGTAACAATGGTCCCACGCATTAATGGATGGTTGCATTTGTTGAACGGGGAACACTGCATTTAAATGGGGCAATTAAACGGATGAATGCGGATGCTCTTAGTAGTATGTATACATAATATATAATATTATACATATTTAATCATTTGGCTCCCCTCAAATTATAAAGTATAAATTAAAATAAAAAATATATTAATAGAAATAGAATCATGTTTTGGAGATGCACGATTCTGGATTCCTCTTCCACTTCTTTTCCTTTAATAAGCATACATAATATAATAAATTAAGTTAATTAATTATTTTTGACTTCATTAAACAAATAATTAAAGTGACTCCATTAAACAAATAATTAAAAGGCAAAAGAAGTGTCAAGCTGGGACTTTAATTTCCGCCACAGGA